GTTGGATAACTGAGTAAAGTTATGTGATAATTATCTCTTTGAAGTCATAGTTTATCCTAATACTATTTAAAAATTCTGTTTGTACCTCGGGGAAAGTGTAGCATGTCTCCATTACACAGATCATTTGATTAATGAATGTAGTTGGCATTGCTGGACTTACCTATTTGAAGGATATCACATCACACTGATGTAATAAACTGTTGGAAATTAATATTTAACGGGTGGTATTCTTGTAATTTGCCTGGATGCAACTGTGTGATTCAATAAACTCTGGTATGTTCTAGCAAATGCAGACAGCTAATTTTTTGTCTTGCAGGGTGAGTTCATAGAGATACACCCATTGCATTCAGTGTCTGCTGCAGAACTGGAACTGCATAGGCCAAGCATTATGCCACTTTGATACTATTTCTTGTCTGGAAACGTAGCTGCATCATACTTCACGCATTCTGTTGGTGTTAATACTAAGAATTTAGTGAATGGTTACGAGTACATACAAAAGTAAACCACCTGTTGGGTTAAATCTCAATATTGCTGTCTAATAAAATGATCACTCTTCAAACTTAGAATCATTCAAAACTCATGGATGCATTTGGTGGGTGTTATGCAGTGCAGCCTACTGACTGGTCAGGGTTTGAATCCTGTTGTCTGGCACCATTTGGATTCTGTCAGTACCATCCCATTGTCTTTGCTAACTAGACTCGCTTTAATTATTCCATTGAAGAACAGACACAACATAATGCCAGCTGGTTTCTTCCCCTTTAAATATCCCATTGATGTGCCGTTCTGCCTGCAGCGTGACTTTAGGCATGATTCTTTCCCCATAACCTAATTTTTGGGTCATTGTGTATGTAAAACTTGATGAGTTTGGCATGTGAAACTCTTCCTGTTCTGGTTTTACTCAGTCTTAGTTAAGCCACCTCTGATATGTTATTTCATCAGCCATCCTACTTTTGATTCCCTGTTTCTGTTAGGTTACCAGTTCCATTCTCTGGTGTTACATTGAAGTGGGAAAAATGCTCAGTTAACTGATTGTTGAAGTAAGTGGTGCGTGTTGTTAACAATGGGCTTTAAAGGGTAAAAAAATACTTATGATGCAAACACCATACTGTGAAATTTTAATTTTTTTTAAGAGTTCTGTAACAGTGTAGTGGATTTTAGGTGTTGCTCTTCTGTTATAGGTATGAGCGTAAAGGAGCTGACTACATAAACAAATTGCCAAAAGACAAACATAGCACCAAAGGATTGGGCATGACTGAACCAGATCCAAAAGCCAGTGTGTTACGAGATGATGGGGTGGAAGTCCCAGCTGGTAAAGGAATTTCAGTCCGTCGTAATGATGTGTCACTGTTGTACAATGAGTATCCTTTCATGTAATGCTGTCTGGAAGTTTGTGCAAAGTATGTTGTACTTTGAGTTGGTGATGTTAATCCTTTCATGAGTATGAATATGCCAATATGTTCAGTGTCTGTGTGCTGCATGGAGTATGAACATACCCATGTGCCTCGTAGAGTGTGGACATACAGCAAGAAAATTTTTGCTATGCTGAGGACTGTAAGTTTCTGGTGTCTTTTCAGTTCTGATCGCACCAAGTGCTCTTCTTGCTTCCTCTGCTCTTAATCTTGACCTTTTGACCAGAAGCGGCATAAATGATGGGTTGTTGTTATTATGGGAGGGAACAAACTCACTCTGATTGTGTTCTTAGGCAATTTAAATATCACTTGTTAGAGGGGCAGTGAAGAAGATCCCTGTGTATTCAGTGGAACATTTTGACTGGATGTAGTGTCTTGAAATCAGTAACAAAGTGATTCCACTCCAGAATCCTGGAAACTCACCTAAGATAGCAAGTACAGTCCACCGGCCAGGAGAAAATCCCTGTGGGGGGAAGGCGGTTCTGGTGTAGTGCAGGGTGGGATGTATGACACGCCAGAGAGTTACTCTACTACACACAGACTGAAAACAGCAGTTAAGAGTAGCATGTAGTGCACCTGTACTGTGTTGTGATAATATTCTAGATTCAATCGCAGGTGATTTAAAGATGGCGAGTGTATGTAAACAGGGGAAAACTGTTCGCTGGGAAGCGCGGGAAATAATATCCAGCCTAGTGAAGCTGTGTGATGAGGAAGCAAGACGGAAAGAGCTAAAATTTCCCTTGAGCCATGCAACAGACAGAGCAGCCAGATACACCGGTGTATCTACTGCTTTAATGAAGAAGGTAAGGCGAGAGTTAAAAGATAGAGACGAGAAGGGCACACTGTCACCTTTACACATGCCAGGGAAACACCGGCCTAGACCTACTGATAGGAATGTCACCATCGACTCCTTTGACATGTCAGTGATAAGGCGGACTGTGCAAGAATTTTATGCAATACAGAAGAAAGTACCGAGCTGCCCCAAGCCACTGCCCGTAATTAAACAAAAAATCGACTTTCCGTGGGTGTTGATTCTCTACGGAATATTTTGCATAACTTGGGATTTAAGTGGAAGAAATGTCTCGGTAAGCGCAAGATCTTGATTGAAAGGCCAGACATAGTAAACTGGCGAGGAAGATACTTAGTGAATATTAAGACACTTCGCAGTGAAGGAAGACAAATATTCTACGTAGATGAAAGCTGGGTAGACAGCAATTCAACTTTCAAAAAGTACTGGCAAAGTATGGAAGTTAAAGGGGTATACGCTGATGGAAATGCTGGAAAAAGACTGATTATGATTCACGGTGGATCGTGTGCTGGTTTCCTTCTAGGTGCTGGTCTGATATATAAAGCTTGCTCAGCAAGTGGCGGCTACTATGGTCAGATGAACAGTACAGATTTTGAAAAGTGGGTTAGAAAGAAAATGTTACAGAATTTGCCCCCCAGTTCAGTTCAGTTGTAGTATATCCAGACGCTCCATACCACAGTGTACAAGCAGATAAAGCCCCATCAAAATATTCAGTTAAATCTGAAATAATCTCGTGGTTACAGCGGCACAGAGTTTCCTGCGATCCAGCTATGAGAAAAGGCCAACTGTATGACCTAATCTCACAAGGAAACCAAAAGAAAAAATTTTCAAAATTGATCAGTTGCTAAATGCCCATGGTCACACTGTAGTTAGGTTGCCACCATATATGTGTGACCTTAGCCCAATAGAACTAGCATGGTCTAAGGTAAAAAACTACGTTCGCGAGAACATGACAGGGATCCGTCCTTGAAGCGGCTGCTGGGCTTAACCGCAGAAGGGACAGCAAAAGACTGGGAAGGATACTGCCAACATGTGGAACAATAATACTGGGAATAGGACGGGGTTGTTGCTGACGTGATCGACTCTTTAAGTACTGCTAATCCAATTGACAGCAGCGATGACGGGTGGGAAATGTATCTTGCCATCAGGGTTACCAAATTACACCTTTTTATTATTACTTATGGTGGAATATCAAGAACCTTGTTCATGAAATGAAACTGCAAACAGTGACATTGCTGCTACTGCACAAATCAGAAATGATGGTGCCGCACTTCATAGAACAACTAATGCTCATGAAAAGAGAGCAAGAACTTACATAGGAGAAGATGGTGGCCACTTTGAGCAGTTATTGTAAAAACTAATTGCTTAAGTAATAATTATAAAATAGTGTTCAGAAAATTGCTTTCTGTGCTGATTTCCGCTAATAATGATAACTTCAAATGCTCATGACACCTTCAGTATTAAGATTAGGCAGATTGATTACTTTTTATTTGTTTTCAACCTGTACAGACCTCCCTGAATATAGGTAAAGTACATAAGACTAACATGATTCTGAATTATTGTTAAATTAATCAGAAGCAATGAGTTCCTGAATAAATAAGTTGCCCTCTATTATTGTTTCTTCCAGTTTTCCTGTTTACTTTGTTTATTTAACTTAATCAGAATTGTGCAGTTTTCTTAACCATCGTCTCAGGTACATCGTATATGATGTGTCACAGGTGAATATCCAGTACTTACTCAAAATGAAGTTCAATTATAAATACTAATTTCAGGATCTGCCTTGCTTGTTTTTCTAAGAACAGTTAAAAGTGTAAATTTTCACTGTATGTGAATGATAGCGTTACACTCTCTTTTTCATGTTGCTCACCATTTGTGCATTTGTTAAGCTAAGAAAGTAAATTTCTGCTTTATGAAGATGTCTTTCAGTTTTGCTGTACTGCTTAATGATACAAGAAATGACAGCAGAAAATAATGAATGCAGTTTCCAGAACAACCCTTCACTATGATGGATCTGAATAATTTTAATAATATCACAGTAAATGGTGGTATTCAACAGCAAATAAAAGTTTCTCATATATTATTATCCTGTTGTGAAATGTCATGGGTTTTATAGTAAAGGTTCTTCCAGATCCTGTTTATACATTACCAGATAGTTAGTTTCCTCACATGGCCAAGATACTCCAATTTTACTTGTGTTGTAAGTCTGTGTGAAGTCATCTTTGTTATTTTCACATCTATTAAGAAAAATTACATCAACTGTTATCAAACTACGCATTACCATGTGCAAGATATGAGACTTCTAGTGGAATATGTGCATTCCTTTAAATCCTTATGTCAGATGTCATTTAATTTATTTTATATTTGAACAGTGAAGTATGTAAAAGCCTTCAATAAAAAAAGTTTTCATGTTGTTGAAATTAATTGTCCTCCTAAAAAATAAATATTACACATGCGCTCAAACAATCGTGGCTGGATATTATGACAGAAGCATTTGCTTCAATTTTCTGGCTTCATATTGCCTGCAGCGTTATTTCCCAAATATTTTTATTAATTGTGGAGAAAAACACTGGTGCAAAACAGGTGTATCAAAATTGAAGCCAGAACAGCTGAAGGTATATATACAAAGAAATTATTTGAAAAACCATTGTTACCTTTGCAAAAATCAACCATACATTGGTTTGTAATTTGATAATGTACATACGATGAAACAATTCTGCTGTAGCATATTAATGATAGCCTGAGCTATACAAATTTAATTCTATTGTTGACCCACTTTTGGTAGTTTTGACCATGACTTGCACGAAACCGCAAATTAATGTAAATGAAGCATGGTCTCTTCAGTCCCATTATGGTACTTTTGGATTGTAACAAGTTCTGACTTTCTAGAAAGCTAAATTAGTGCAAGTTTAGGAATGTTTAATACAGTATTTACTGGATTGAAAAATTAGTTATGCGCACACACCAACAAACATCACTATAAATGTCAAAGTTGCATTACAGAGGTATAAATGAATGTAAGAAGCATTATCAATCTAAAAGTGACTTGGTAAAGGATGAAAATGGTGATCTGCTTGCAGATTCCCGTGATATTTTGAACAAGTGGATGAATTACTTTTCTCAGCTATTGAGTATTCATAGGGTTAGGGAGGTGGAAATACATACACCTGAGCTATTAGTACCTGAGCCTAGTCCTTTTAAGGTTAAAATTGCTATTGCAAAGTTAAAAAGGTATAAATTGTCAGGCAGTGATCGTATTCTGGCAGAACTGATTCAAGCAGGATGTGAATTATTACATTCTGAGATCCATAAGCTCCTAAATTCTATTTGGAATGAGGAATAATTGCGTAATCAGTGAAAGGAGTCTTATTACACCAATTTACAAGAAGGACGATAAAACTGACTGCAGTAATTATTGAGTCATATCACTGTTATCAACGTCATACAAGATTTTATCCAACACCCTTCTCTGATGGTTAAGTCCATACATAGACAAAATTATTGGGGATTATCAGTGTGGGTTTTGACGTAATAGGTCAACTATTGATCAGATTTTTTATTTGTCAGATACTACAGAAAAAATAGGAGTACAATGAGACAGTATATCAGCTGTTATTTCACTTCAAGATTGTGCAGTTACAAGAGAGGTATGGAGCAACATTCTCATTGAGTTTGGTATGCTATTGCTAGGAAGCTGGAGAAGCATGAGGAGCTTCATAAGTTGTACTGCTCACTGAATATAATTAAGCTGATCAAATCAAGAGGGATGAGATGGGCAGGGCATGTAGCCAACATGGGAGAGAAGAGGTATGCATACAGGGTTTTGGTGGGCAAACCAGAAGGAAAGAGGCCACTATGAAGACCTAGACATAGGTGGGAAGGTAACATTAAAATGAATCTTATAATTTTCATAAACCCTTAGCTTTTTGATATTACTGAATGAAACGAGTTTTTATACTTTGTCATTTGGATTTCAAGAAACAGTCTTATTTCCACAAAACTGTTTATTAAGGTCTGTCACGTCTGCCATCAGCTATTTAGAAGAAAACATGTTTTTCATTCACAAATTGAAAATATAACGGCAACGTCGATAGCGTAAATGCATTAAATTTTTATGGGATGCGTACATTTACTAATTTCGTAGTATTATATAATTCTTTTCCATCTGATTTCTTATATGATATTTCTGTACGCGTTTGTTTTCGATCATACGAAATTGTCTATTTTGCCCTCTACATCCTACTTCTTAACCATGGATCTTCACTAAAAATTAAAGAATTTACCACTAGAAGGGCTATAATGCACGGATCACAAGAATATACAAGATGTTTGGTTATTTGGAGGGAAGTTCTTATTATGCATTGGTGATACTGTCATAGGTCCGTTAGCTTACGTACAGCGCATGCATAGAACGAGTTTCAGGTTATTGTAACCAATAGTGGTGAAGGTATTGTTTTTAAACGACAAATATTCAAGAATCGTAGATAACGGTTTTAATTTGTTTTTAGCTGTGTGTGTTGTAGTTTTATGAACATGTCAGGGGTGAATTCAAGGTTTAGAGATCAATATAAAAGAAATATTTTGGTGTCTGAGGGTGGTGGAAAATATAAACGAGCCAAGAAGAAATTAGAAGATCGCCGTATTTCAAGAATTGAACATTTCAGCAGGCAACGCAATTTGACCGGCTTAATGGATGACTCTGAAACTGTCAGTAAGTGATGGCATATGTTTTATTAAGCAGATTGATAGCCAGTGAAAATTTAAATTAAAGGAAATTACTTCAGAATTGGTCATAGGTTTTAAATTCGATGTACTTTTTGGGTGTTTCGAAGTTCGTATTGCTACATTGCTGTCCTTATCTTTGAAGGTTTCCAGTTCTTTGGTGCTCAGAAAATTAACAAAAGACAGCCATTTCTGTCTTTCCTTAGTCAGACGCAGTTCATTATAAAAAGTAACTTCGTAGCATGGCTGTGAAGGTATTCATGTAAGGAACTTTTGGAATGCCCAGCTTGATGCTAGTTGGTGTTTACTACTGTTTTTGTAAAGAATGGAGTTTTTTGAACAAAACTACACAACAACCTCCAATCAAAATTAAATATTTATCTGCCAGCAGTAAAATCATCTTTGGCCGACCCAGATATTTGTGTCATGTTCTTTACATCTGGCCCCAATGTTTCTGGCAGTCTGCCCCACATAGACCATACAGTCAAAACTGTTGGCAAGTTTTAACCATTTGACATGGCTGATAGCCCGAGAGGACTTCATTAATATGGTTTACCATCAAGGTTTTATATCATACCTCTTTATAGTAAATCATTTCCTTTTAGCAGCAGAATAAAGTACTTTCATTGGAGTGGAATACGCTTATTGTGTATAATATAACTTTTGCAGTGAGGCATGTTTTACTTTAGAAAACCACCAGCTTAGCTGCCCTTATGTTTCCTTTTTGTACAATGGCATTTTTTTTGGTGTTCTTTCTCTCAGGTTTGGATGTCTTTTCAGGAAAATATGGCATTTCAGATTTAATCTCTCTGGAGTAAATGGGTTTGGCATTTTCATTTCTTTGTTTCGCTGTCAGTTAATTGCTCTTTTGATACTGTGTGCTGCATACTTGCAATGAACAATATTAGTGAACTGAGATTCTCTCCTTCCCTTTAATTAGAATAGTTGATGGACTAGGGCATGCATTTTAGGGATTGTGCCTTTGCATCTCTAATAAAGTTATTCTGGGAACATGAAACTCCTTTGCTACAGGGGCAATGGGCCCATCTTCTGTGGCTTTTACTATTTGCTGAATCAATTTATTTTTGAAATCCCATCTGAAATTAAATGTTCCAGTTCTTAAATTACTGGACATCTAAGACACTATATTATCACATGCACAGCCTCAGAATGTGCTCTGTGTGTGTTGTTATGTTGCAACACCTGCTTACTTCATGATGAGCCAACAGTCATTCAGCCACTCAAGAAATTACCAACATTTTATGGAACCCGAAGGCTCAAGTACTAATAGTTTAGCTGTATGTATTTCTGCCTGCCTAACATCAGTATCCCTATGAATATTCAATCGCTGAGAGAAGTGATTCTTCTACCTTTCCAAAATATTATGGGAATCTGCAAGCAGATCACCACTCGTCCTTTACCAAGTTACTAGTAGGTTGATAGTTCTTCTTAAATTCATTTATGCCTCTGTACAAGTCTCTAATATTCTTGTCTTTACTATGTGTTGCAAGCTCATCAACTTTGCCTTTTGTATATTCCCTCTTTTTGTTCCTGAAATGTTTACTAGCTTCTCATTGCATATCTTTCAGATTATCTCCATTTATTTGGCTTCAATTATGTAACCATTGCAATTTGGCTTGTTCCCTTATATATAAAGATTTTAAACATGTTACAACATGCCTAATTTTTATAATTTTTTAGGAACTGGCATGTTTACAAACCTTACATTGAAGGATGGTGTTGCGTTACATTGCATTTCACATCTTATGCAATATTATTGTTGTATGTCGTCCTGATTGAAATGGGTACCTGCTAGAAAGTTCATCAGAGATTTTTCATAATTGTTCTTGAAAAAATTGTGTAATTTATTGAAACTTCTTAAGATGTTTTGTTGCTGAGAGCCAGTACTTTCCTTGGGTTAGAATTTTTCTCATTGATGGAAATTATTTATTTATTTTTGCCATGAAATTTCTACTCTTTGTGTTTCAACATTTTTTGTTGTATAAGGTTTGCAAAAATGAGGATGCTTAAGTTGAGGCCCTGCACAAAATCAAAATTGTTTCTCGTTGCATATAACCTCAAAATTTAGTTGGTGTGTATGTTATTTTTGACTCCTACATGCACAAACATGCATTTAATTAATTCCCGGATTCTAAATATTTCAACATGTTCAATTTTTAGGGACAGCAGTTGACTCACGCAAATTAAGACTTCAGAAATGGAAGGAAGAGAAGCTCCAGAAGAAGTTGTTAATGAAGGCTTCAGAAAAACCAGCTTTTAAGTGTGGCATTGTGCATCATAGATTGGGATCTCCATATTTTACTGATATCTCTAATGTGAGCTATATTAAGAAGGTGCCAACACTTGCAAGACTCGGACAGAAAACTGTTGTAGCGAAGAAAAATCATTTTCCAGATACAAAACAATCCTTTGCTCCGTCAGACTTCAAATTCAAGGTAAATCTTGTGGTCATAAGATATTTTTAATAGGGTGCAGAATAACTCAACAGTTAGTTGCTTATTGCAACCAACATTTCAAGGTCACGTGGACATAATTTATATAATTATACCTGTAGGTTTGTGTAGCCGTTATGTAACCAATATCAATATGTTAATATCCCGCAATTGCAATGTGTCATTCCACTAGCTAGTTTATGTCAGAAAATTGGTCGTGTCAGCTTATTTGTATGAAATTTTCCCCACTATGTCTCATTTTCTTTTACATTTCTTAATTTTGGTTGTGGGTTTATGATCATCCTTTAATTTCATCATTGCACGATTTACTTTACTAATATTTTTCACTATCAGTAATGTGTTGACCACTTAGCCTGTTTCTTTTGCTCTCTGATCTTTCATTAGCTGTAAACTCTGAACTTGTGCATGCAGCCAATAGATATCAGAATTCATTCCATGGTTCGTTTTAGTCTGTAGTTTTGTAAATATATCGCCTTAGGTGATTATTACCACGAAACTGTAATGGTATGTTAATGTTTTATGATTTCAGCCACCTAAAATCAAATCTGCAGTATTGATTGAAGAAGAATCCAGGTATGAAATAGAATTCTTCTTTAATATCTTATATTTCTTGTAAAGGGTTAAGTCTCTCAGGTGGAAGAGTTGGATGCTCCTCCCATCAAGTTTTTCTTGTGAAGATTCAGACTGTATCAGAACTAACAAACATACAACCCAAACAGTGTACATAAAGTTTGTCCAGATTACAGGAGATGCTGGAATTGCTTTCCATGTTTCACACACATTCCTGGCCCATCCATAAGTCTTGCATTCATGTGCCATAAATATTTATGTTTGTTCACATTCATGTGTTATTTTATTCTTGGAAAACAGAGAAAAGTTCACTTTACATATTTATCTTAATTTTGTTAATTGACTGAGGGTTTTGACTAAACTTTTTGGTTACCAATAAATACAAGTCGCATGGGTTACGGTCAGGATTGTGTTTGCCATAAGCTACTTGTAATTCTGAACCAAAACACTTCCCTCAGCATGTACATTGATAGATACTCTTGCTGTGTGAACAGTAGCAGAGTCTTGTTGGATGAATGGATACCAGAATTGTCTCTTAGGTGCTGAACAGTGGAAGGAGTATCTGGTTCATGTACTATTTAGAATGAATTGTGTCCTTGAACGTAGTTATTCTGTGTGTTCACTCTGCACCATACACAAATTTTGGAACCATATAGTGGAAGCTTGTGTGTTAGTTTTCGATTGTGTGAACTTCTGTATCTTCTGCTGTGTGAATTTACCTCCACATCTGAACGCTTGGCATTTTGACTCTTTCTTTCCTTTTCCCCATGATTGACCTTGTCTAACTTAATTTATTTACAATTCTGTGAATATTTTTGTATGCATGGAATTGTATCATCCTGAAATATATGCTAGAATCTTCTCCTTACTTCCCTTGCAGGACCTCTTTTCATATAGGTATCATATATGAACACTTCTGATGTGTATCTCACATGTGGCGTTTCAGCACAGTAAATAATATGACTGAGTGAATGTTTCTGTACAGTTCAGCTACAGTAGTGAAAGTCAAAGCAACATGAGGGCCAGTCCAAAATGCATAATCTCATTTATGTTGTACTTTCTAGTAGTCTCACTGTACAATGAAATATCTCCAATGTTTGCTGTATGTGAAAAGGTTGTACATTTATTTTTTCCAGTCATAGTCTACTGTTGAAAGTTCAGAACACTAAGAGCCATGTTTTATGTCCTACGTAAATGTGTGCGTTAATGGTTTCAGGGTTGTTTCGGATAGAAAGAAAGGTGTTTCATCTATACAGAATGAGTGTACTATTCAACTGCAAGAAAACCCTTTGCGAAGAGTTACTAGGGCTCAGACGCGTGCTTGTGGCACACGAGTACAGGTGAGGAAGGATCAGTACTTCAGTTCATACTTACTAACGTTGCACATAAGTAACCAAGATTCTGATAATAGTTAATCAGATAGGATCTCAAAAATTCAGGGGTGGAGGATCATGTGACAAAAACATGAGTTTTTAGGCGTGTTTGAAACAGAATTTTGAAAATGGCTTATTATTTCTGTCATGTCAACCCATCTGTCTGCAAGTGACTACCTGATTTTTATCAAACTTGGTATACTTGACATATATTGAATTTTATTGAGTCATTTTTATTTTGGTTTATTTGAAGGCCATGAAGTGTTATATGTGTGTGAGATTTAAATATTTGTGTTGATGAATATCCTTGTTGTGATATTCTATTTTATGACTCCATGTAGTCTAGTAGGTATTTGCCAGTGTTTCGAATAAGCCTGTAGCATCTGTTATCAGGTTAGACTACATGGTATGTTAACCCAGAAGACCACAATTCAAATTTTATGTGTGAATTTCGAGTCCTTTGGCAGGTTTCACTGAAACTTTATACATACCACTTCTGTTGTATAAGTATCCCTTTGTTTAAATTTAATTTGCATGTGTTCATTATAATGGTCTGTGTTAGAGTTGTTTCTGAAGTCGAGTATAATAAATATATTTTCTTTCTTTCTTCAGTATAATTTCACATCTGTTCCGAAGGCAAGTAATAAGCAGAAACAGAAGTCCCCACAAATTCTACAAGGCATAGGTTCTTCCAAAATAGGTAAGGATTACAGTTTCTGCATATATTAAGGCCCAGTAACACTAACCATTTGCTCTGTGTAACTGATATAATACCGTGCTTTGTTCTTCAGAGTTCTTGCTGATTTTTGAGTTTCTGAGAGTTTTGTTTATGGATGTTCATGTAAGAACACAACCAAACAGTATAGTGTTCCAATTTATGGTGTTTTTAAATAATTATTTCAACTGTTGACTCAATTGCATTCTGGTGTTTATAGAGCAAGGTAAATACATTGTTTCAATTTTTCATGTGCGGTATATGAAAAATATCTTAAGTAAATTTACATGATAAGATGAAGTTCTGGGAATTCTTTACATCTGGTGTTTTGTATTTCATATGAAATATATTCTTTTCAAATTAAACCAAAGATCATGTGTGCCGCTCCATTGGCCACCTTGATGTCAAGTCACAGTTCATTAAGGTGAATTAAGCTTTCTGGGTTAATATTAAAATCTGCTGTCCTTAAATAAGTAAAGGTTATAAGAAATGAAAACTTCAAAATATAGAAGAACTTGGTTCTATTATGTCGCTCTGTAGAACAATTAGTAGTTTTCAAAGTTTCTATTCAAGTTCTTAATTGATTGAATGCCATCTTGGGCTGGTCAAGTTCCTCTTGAAGACTGTTTTCCCTTCAGCATAGCTTCCCTGTCCATGGCACTTATACTTTAATTGAATATGTTTCTGTGTGTGCTGATATACTTTCATATATTCCTTTGGATGCTTCCATCTGGACATAACATCCACAAAACTTTCACTAGGTTTCATAGCCAATTTATGTTCTGAGTGAAGGTTTCTATTTTAGTGTTAGAAGCACCAGTAATCAAAAAGAATAGCACAGAAGAATCTACTACACTTGTTAGTACAGAAGTTGTGAGAGGAAGTGACATTCCAGAACCAGACATAGAAGCTGAAAGACCTGTGGTTGAAAACGTTAACACTGAAGAGCGTACAGGACCTACTATTAGAGAAGTTGTTGAAAGATGTGACACTCCGAAAGCTGAAGCAGCTCCCTGCACACCTGTTCAAGCACAATGGTATCCAATCAACTATAGTCCTTTTGTGACTAAAGGCCGAGGCAGTTCGAGCAAGCGATCACACTGTAAGTGTTGTATTTTCTAGAAGGTGGTTACATTTTGTATTCATTTTTCGTGACTTGGAACAACTTTACAGTATTTTTTAATTGACATTTACGAATTAATCTTGTCATGTGTGCCAACAAATGTCTTAGTTCACATTTGCGTCATTCCATGGCAATTCAGAGTGCCATCAATCATCGCCCTGATGGTGGAGGCAGCAAGCCCCTCTGAAAAGTAAGTACACTTGTATCAGACTATACAACACAACATCCCAGAAGACACTCATCTTCATACTTGCTACTGTGAGAAACTGAAATGTCTGTAGGTGGTGTGACAAATCCATCATTCGTTCTCCGATATCTGATTAGACATCCAGCTCTCGTAAGATTTTAGGTTTTCACAGGAGTGAATATAGATGATTGTCTGGGCTTTGCAGTGTAGTCTTTTGACTATGTTATTAGGAGTGTTAGGAAGTGTATAACGCATGCAAGATCAGGAGTGAAGATGCTACAGAGTTGATCAAACAGAACCATGGGATGAGGAGAGAAGAACCTTTATTTGGACCAATAGGAAGCATCCCTTTTCAGGCACCAAAGGGGTGGCTTGGTTATTGCCAGATTCTGTGAAATTAATTGATGTAAGGTGAAAACATTTTGTATTTATCACATGATCATGAGATGCAAGAAACAGGTTTGCTGAATTTTATTAGAATTAAGTTTCACAAAAATAAAGGTTTAACATTAAATTTTTAAATTGTTACACTAAATCTACTGCTTTACTGCAGACTGTATATATAACCCCTAAAAGGATTATAAGTCCTCTTTAAACTGTATAAATTTATCAATAGTCCTGTAGCCAAAGTTGCTCCTTACGTACATTTTAATATGAAATTAATTTTGAAAGTACTTGGTAAGGTTCCTCATGAATATTAATGTTAAGGGGGCAAACAGATACTTAATTGGTATTAGAGGGGATATGTTGAATTTTGTGTGATATTTGAGAAGTGGAATTAGAAGTTCTATTGGATCCTCCAGGATTGTTCTGGAATTTTACCGAATATACAGACACGTGATTTTTGTTGTCAGCAGGTGTTTCTGAGAAAAGTCCTAGAGATGATTCTGCAATTTCCTGTGAAAGAGATAAATTGGGGTCTCCAGTTTTATGTTCAAATGCAGTTGACACAGCAGAGGAAAATCGACAGCATGGCATCCTATACTTCAGGTAATACATTTATTAATTTAGGTACATTGCCAAAGATCTTCGGTTATAAGATTTTTGTCCAGTTATCCCTCCATATTTGCGTAGTTGACATTTGCTGTCTAATTTGCAACAGTAGTTTATAATGAATTTCTTTGGAAATTTTGTTATGGTTAATCTTTATGAATGAGCATCTAGCTCATGTGCTGTATGTTTTGGTCTGCCACAATTGGAAGCATTGCATAAATTTTCACATTTAACTTCTGTCTTGTTTGACAGCCAACATTATCTCTTGAATGTTTGTCCTTTTTGAGTGGGTGTGGAGAAGCGTGCCTTCCATGCATCCACTTCCCCCCACAAAAAATGAAATGATTGCAATGTAAGTAAGAGTAAGTGTAAAATCTGTGAACACTCTGTCTCCTGAATAGCCAAAACTTAAGAAGTATGTATCATTATATTCTGTTTTTAGGTCTGTTTTGGAGAACGAAACAGAAAGGTTACAGACCATATGTCAGGAATGGCTTCATATTCAGTGTTCAGTGTCGGACATACCACCAGAGACAAGTGACTTGATCAATGCAGCTGTGGGGCAAACACAACTCCTGTTGAAGAAGAAGTTCTCACAGTTTTGTGGTTTAATTGATACATGTGAAAACGTTTTGAAGCTTGGCACAACAGCAGCAGCAGCAGCATCTGTCACATGCTCAGATCTTGATGGTTTTTGGGACATGGTGTATATGCAAGTAAGAAATTTCTCATAGCTACATTTTCCTGGTAATAACTGCAAATCGATATTTTGGCGAAGTTGAATGGTTCTGCACATGCCCTTACATTTGTCTGTTGTATAGTATGTGTTGTAATTTTGCTTGCAACCTTTCATTACTCAAATAGTTTCTTAACACATTTAATCTAAATGCTTTTCTTTCCCCTTTAAAATGCAAACAGTTTTAACTTGTGAACATATTTCATTTGGCTACCTCTTTTGTAACCTTCGTTATATATGATTGTCATTCTTAGCCGCTCATAATTGCAGTGCAGCAATTATGGTTGACTTCTGTTCTTCCTACCACCCTTTAAATAAAAAGCATATGTCGTGTGCATCTCCTTTCTTTTTAGTATAGGCAGGACTAAATCATAGTAAATTCCATTTAATATTCGATAAATGATCAATTTGACCACTGAAGTAAAGAGTAACCTAAATAAAAGGAATTTAATGCAGGTGAGATTAAATGCCACAAGGAGGAAACTTAAAACAAACGCTGAAAGATATTTCACTGCGGGCATTTAGGTGTGTCATACATGGAGGGAACCAGTTGCATGTATTAAGTTTCTTGCTGATCAACAGGGGAGAAACTAGTTTGGTTTAGTCTCCATCATATAGCCGAACAAGGAGAATGCTTGATTCATTTGGCGATGATCACATATGATGAAAAAGCAGATGATATTAGGTACATTCTGTACAACAAAAACCAAGCACTTGAAATTTTGTAAGTCCCAGATCAGAAGTGATGTAAGCATACAGCTGTTCTCATAATTCCAGTCATTTGTAATCTTGTATTTGTCCATATGTGCTTTCCATTAAATGCAATGATTTATGCCACATGTTTGTTAATCAAAGACACCAATATATCTGCATAATTAGAAGAAAAACATGAATTAGTGTTGATGATTTCCTCGATTCCTCTGAAAGTAAAACGTAGGTGAAAGCTGTACTTTGCTTGGTTGCTCATGTTTCCTCACGAACCAGTCAGCATTGGAAGGGACTGGTGTTGATGAGAAGATCACATTTGCAAGTTTGAATCACAATGTCTATTTTTTTTAACAAGAATGTAGTACTCATTCATTAAAATTGTGCACGTGTTATATTATCTAAATGTATATCTTTCAAAGCTATCGTATGGAACTTATATCAAGTGAAAATGGAAGTGGATACTGAAATATGCACATTGTGATGTTCAACAGAGAATGTCTGATTGTTTGTTCAGCACATGCAGTAAAGTAACTGTTAACAGGTGAAAAGTAATCAGCAGTATTATCATTAACATTATCGCTGCATTATTTGTGGTGCATTGACGAGACTAGAAATGCTAGGCAAGCAGGTATTTTATATATTTTTTTGTGATCTATCATTTGCCGTCATTTTGATTTAAAGGTTCCTTGTTGGAATCAGACCACAGACAAATTGTTCTATTTCCAGAAACACGTGCTATAGAATTGTTTGTGTTTTGCAAAGTATACTAATGACTTAGAAGAGAATTGAATTACTATGTTAGCCCTTAAAGGGGTGTATTCAGTATTTGGTATCTTTACTAAGAAGTCCACAATCTTTGATCTTCAACTTTATTCGTCTCGACATGGGCTAAGCATTACATGCGAGTTGCATTTAAGCCTTGATTGTTAATGTTGCTATGAGCTAACTTCCGATACGTTTTGGGTAAATGGTATTCAAAAGTTGACAGACCTTCACTTCACACCATTGTGAGTGAATATAAAATAATTTGGTGATATGTCTTGAATTTTAATGTTTAACACTGTGTAAATTACTAATTATGAAGGCAAGATACAGAGTTCTTGACTTAACTGGTAAGCACTGAGACGTGTCTAAGTTTTACATTACACAGTAAGATTCTTATAGGCTGATAATCAAATATAACAACATTAAAGCTTCTGAATTTGTCACAGTGTAAAACATTTGCTTCATCACCATCATTGTAGGTCGAGGATGTGGACCTTCGTTTCAGTAAATTAGAGAAATTGAAACTGAACAATTGGAAAGAAGACATGGATGTATGTGAGAATGTGAAGCAACCTGTAGCCAGGCGCTTAAGGAAGGTGCCAGTGAAAAAGCCACAGAAATCATCATTACATTCCATGATAGCAGGTATGGTATTCAATGTCTTTGATTTTTTATATATATATATAAATAAATAAATTTGCATACCATCATATATAGTCACTTGGATATAAAATTGTTTAAAAACACTAATTATTTGTATCTTTAACCCTTAATGGTAGAATATGCATGTTTACAACTGATGGCAGACTCATCGGTTATGTGACCGTAATCAGTCTGCCCTCATGAACCAGAGGATTAACTTGTTCAACATTCACTGTTTCTGGAGTGGTTAGGAAGTCCGAGTAGCTTCATCAAAGATGCTTGTTTTACCACTGTGGAATCTTTCTACCCATTGGTACACCTCTGTTTGTGTAATACAGTTTTCGCTGTATTGTGCTAACATTAAACAATGAATCTTGGAGGGTTTTAACCCCTCTGACCATAGAAATCAAATGATGGAACATTGTTCAACAATGATGCAATCTGAAAGTGGAGTGAGCATGTTTACGCTATGATTGCACGAGCTCCACTGAACATTGTGGCTACCCCAGAGCACGTCTAGACTTGGTTCAGTATGTAGTATGCGTGGTGTTTGCATGAGCACTATGTGACATATAACTGGGATTTTACGTGCAAATTTCCCTCTTTGTATTCTTCTTGCATAATAGACCTAAATTGTTTTTCTCCAGAACTGCTCTTTGCATGTTGTCATATACTTTATGTAAAAAATTAAGTAGGAAAGATTCTACATAGCTTTTATAAAAAATCATCTAGAAACTTGTGTAGTAGGCAGTTATAGAGGTGTAGATCGTGCGCCTCACTTGATACAGATAGAACGTTATTAAGTGCATGAATCGGGTATCTTCAGATTTAAGAAATGTGGGTTAGTTTGTTGCCCCCCCTCTGCACCATTTTAAGTTCCATTTCTATCAGTTTCTGACTCGATGCAGATTGTAACACCTTTGCCATCATCTGAGAATTTAAATTATCCATATGTAGTGGTACTTCACAAGAAGCACATGAAAGTTGCACCAGTTACCATTTGTGTTCTCTTGTAGCTGCAAGGAAGAGAAAGCAAACAGAGGCATCTGAAAGCAAGGGATTTGTCAGCTTGAATGCTCCTTGCACTCCAGAACGAGTTGGTAAGAGAGATTGAATTATGTCTAATTTTATATCTTTTGTTATCATGGCGACCTGAATATAATAAAGAATACTGCAAACAATTTGAAGATACTTATAAAGCCTCAGGTGATTTTTGTAGCAATCTGTGGAGCTTGTTCAATTTATTGGTACTTTGAAATAATTGAATTGCTGTTCAGTTTAAATCAGTCTTTGAGGCGGTTGCATATTTCTTATGCTTCTTCTAATGATTCTGTAAAGTTGTATTTATTTATACTTTGTAACAACTGTATATACATTGCAGTAATGTTTTGTTAGAGACATTTTCCTCTCAATGCCTTTGACGTGTTTCACATAAAGTTCAAGGTAGGTCGGAAATTTAATGACATGAATTTATTTTAGACATGTGTTCATTTAAATTTAAACTCTGAAATAGGCAACATAAACCAGGTAGCCAATGTGTGACAGTAGCTGCCTATAAAGAGGCACGGCAGCTGTTTCAAAATGGCACTGCCATTGCAGGAGTGGCCTGTCATTGAGATTTGATCATTGATTTGTTTTCTACTTGTCAAAGTCCTTTTTTGAGTGAAATTTGATCACTATAAATAGTCCAAATGCCATGCCATTCCAGGGAGACAGTCAGTAGTGCTGAAAGTTTGAAACTGGTTGCATGAGTGTCATAGACTCTCCTTGGTTGGAATTCCATTGCCACCCACTTTACAGTCCTGATCTGGCCCCAAGTGACTACCATTGAAAAATGTCTTGCTTCCTGTTGATTCTGATCAGAATTTTGGGTTGTACAAGCAAAAAGGGCATGACTCCAGGCACAGGACACCCAGGTTTCCAAGATGGCATTAACAAACTAGAGTACTGTTGGGATGAGCGTCTCATTGTCTATGGCAGTTATGTGGAAATGTGACTAGTTTGGACTACAGTCCTGTGTATTATTATGCTGGTTTGATTTTGCAGCTGTGTGAAATAAATTCATGTTAGTAACCTTCTGTTCTACCCTTTTATATTTTAGGAATTTATTGTGCTTATCTTAAGGAGATTGCTTGTAATTTTGCTGACGTCTTTCCCCTGTGTGTGTTTCCTTCCTTCAAACTTTGGCCAGGATGTCTGTAGTTTTAGATTTCAGTGTGATAAGTATGTGCCTGTTTTCATATGCATTTAAATCATTTGATTCTCCACCTGATTTAATTGAAACAAACTGCAGTGGTTTATGTTTTATTTTATGACACTGATGGGGGTACATTCCTGCATTTTTAACACACTGTGGAAATCAGATTCACACTTTTGCGTCTACTGCTCCCAGCATATTTTCAAGAATGGTCTCTGTCCTTTGTCCCAGGTTAAGCATGTTTCTAGTTTTGTACAGGAAACTTCTTTCTTTGCTTACCCCCAGAGGCAGACATCGCAGGTGTAAAGTTAGGGCTGTGATGAGGCCGTTCATGAATGTATGGAGTGAATGGTTTTCTTGTAGTCATCACAACAGCCTGTGATCGAACGAGAAGGAAGGATAGCCAGTGTTCTGAAAATATGCTGAAAGCAGAGGTGGCAAACATACCAGTTCTATTAAAAATTATGTAGCACATGCAGAGATTTGTGGTCGGTGACATAAAACAGGGCTCAACGAATGCTAGACACCAGGTTGCCATGTCACCTTGAAATTTTGTCATCGTGCTTAATACTTTGGAGAGTAAATTTTTTCAGTGTTTTTTTTTTTCCTTTTCTTTTTTGAAATTCTAGCTGAATAATGACTGTGCCACGCTAACTGATCTTGGGTACTGAACAATCTGATTATCCACATATTTGTTTAGTGGTCATTTTTTTATTCTGTCTATGATAGTGAATGGAGAAGAACATCAATTTGAGAACAGTATATAGACTCTGCAGTAATGTAAACTTGCTTATCTTACTGAAGCAGTGTTTGCTGTCTGCAGTTCCAATTAGGAGCATATAGAATTGAGACTACTAAATATTAGTAAATGTGTTGTTTTTAATAATGAAGATTTACCAGCAGTGGAAGGAATTTGTTATTGTACTTGTTTGTAAGAAGGGTGATGAAACCAAAGGTAGTAATTATAAAAGAATATTATTTTTAATCAACTACATACATAATCATTTCAACATTCATGTGTCAAGGTTTACTTCATTTTTTATATACTGGAGAAAAGTGGATGTGTGGTGTGACTGATATATCAGCCATTTATAGACTTGAGAGCAAGAGATCCTTTAAAAATGTAAAGGTAAAATATCTGTTAATGACAGTGACATCAACATTGCATTCTTGAGGAAATTATGAGCAGACTAAATTTAGGTATTGCTTGCCCCCATCTAGTTCAGAATCTTATGTCTTCCATCTGCTCTTCTATCTGAAGACAAAGATTAAAATATACAAGACTAAGTTTACCCATTGTTTTGTGTGAGTGTGAAACCTGGTCTGTAATAGTAAGGACTGAGAATGTTTGGTCCTAAGTGGGATGAAGTGACAGAAGGCTGGAGAAAATTGTACAATGAGGATTTCCATAATTATACTCTTCACCAAATGTTGTGATTATCAAATCAAGAGAGATGTAGGTAGACATAGAAAGATTACAAAAGATTTGCCATGCTACATATTTTACAAGCTTTGGAAAATGCATCGTCACACATCTGGTATCAGTATATTGTACAGTGTGGGTCCCAGCTGTTTATACCTATGAGGAATGTGGAAACTGATGTATGTGGTGGCAAAAAGGAGGAAATGTGTATATTGTCCAAAATGAAAATACTGACCAAGTTCACCTTTGCTCTTGTGAAGTCTGCATGCTGATTTCCTTTAGTCAGGTATTACCAAATTGGAATATAATTCACAAAGGGTACAGATTACAAGTCATTAGTCACTGACTTCTCATGGCTGAGATAGTGAAAAATATTATCAAGGTGAATAATAGTTTTATACGCCAAATAAGCAGTGAATTGCTGGTTGACTGTGTTAGTTTTCCTTATTTCAACTCTTGGCTCCTCATACCTTGTCCCACAAGAATAAAGAGCTCACATTCAAACTGTACAGTTCTTACATTAATAAGTTTTATTGGCATTTTTGCACATTCTTGCAGCTAGTAGTGTTCGTTTTCTTCAGTGGCAAGGCATAAGATTTCGGGAAACACCTTTTTGATTTTGGTTACAAAGTGTTTGAAGTCACAAAATTGTCATTAGAAAGTTTGCTCTCAGATTGTCCTGATGATATCAAACACAATATCAGAGACAAACTGTTTTAATTAAAAGACTGATAGTTGAACAAGATGTAAACATTGATAGATACAGTAAAATCTCTCTAAGTTGGACACTTGTGGTTCCACAAAAATGTGTCCAACTTACAGAGGTGTACAAGATAGAG